ATCTAGAATATACATACCTCTTAGCATAGTAAGCAAATAATCTCAATCTACTATGTTAAAGGCCTTCATTAAGTTTATTTTCATTCACTTGTTCAGATGTCATTAGGATATTGTCAGTGATGTTTCTTCCTTTAACAAAAGGAGACTGACTCTTGCTCTTATAACCTTTGCAGGATGAATATGGTCATATGAAGTAGGTCAAACTTGTACTGTAAATGTTGATGTGACTTGAATTGGATTATCAGCCGCAATGCCCCCGACCCACGTTGTATGGACTCAATGTTATTTGGGTTCGGGTTCTGGGCCTGGTTGTAACCGCTTTTCCTTTACTAGGTTGGATTAGGGTTAGACCTAGGAGAAGTACTATAAATACTTCTCATACTTCTCGGTAATCTGTATCTTCTCAAGTATAGTGAAACTAGCTCTCTCATTCTCATGGACTAGCTAACACACATTGTGTTAGTGAACCACTTAAACTGTGTGTCGTGTGTGTTTTTCGTTTCTTGCATTGTGAATCCTCCTATTTCCCAATTAGCAGAAAATAGTCTTGACAAGTGGTATCAGAGCCTGGTTGGAAATTAGGCTAGGGTTTCGATTCTGAAAAATGATATTGGTAAACATGAAGTTCGATAAGTTCACGGGGAAGAACAGCTTTACTATATGGCAGATCAAGATGCATGCTTTATTGAAACAACAAGGGATGTGGGGACCGCTGTCTTCGAAACAGAAGAAGGCAGCGGACGAAGATGATGTGTGGAATACCCTAGAGGAGAAGGCCCACTCGAGCATCGTGTTATCGTTGTCTGATGACGTCAACATTGAAGTCGTTGCTGAGAAGACTGTCGCGAGCTTGTGGTTGAAGCTGGAGAGTCTATACATGACTAAGTCCTTAACCAACAAGTTGTATCTCAAGCAATGATTGTTCAGCTTGAGGATGCAAGAAGGTACGCTTTTGAGGGAACATTTGCAACAACTTAATTCTATTTTGTTGGATTTACGCAACATAAATGTTAAGGTTGATGATGAAGATGTTGTCCTAATCCTGCTTGTTTCTTTGCCAAGTTCTTATGAGAATTTTGTGAATTCTTTTATTGCTGGTAAAGATAGCTTGTCATCGGAGGATGTCTGATATGCTCTTCACACGAGAGAGATCAGACATAAGGCGTCAGGATCTGGTACAGGTGGTGAAGCGTCGGTGTGGGCTATCACAAGTGGAAAGGGAAAGAAGAAATCTAGTAAGGGAATTCGAATAGAAACTCGAATTCTAAGGGTCACGGTCCGCAGCCAAGCGATGCATGTTACATCTGTAAGGAAGTGAGGCATTGGAAGTGCAACTATCCCAGAAATAGGTCATCAGAAGAACCAAGGTTTTGTTGTTGTGGCAGAAGTGGACAACAGTTCTGATGATGATCTCGCCTTGGCTATAGATGAGAAGGCACATCATGACGATGTGTGGTTTCTGGATACTGCAACTTCATATCATATGTCTCTTAATAAAGACTGCTTCTTAACCTACGAACAGATAGATGGTGGTAACGTGGTTATGGCGAATGAATTTGTCTGCAAGGTGGTTGGAATCTAGTCCATCAAGATTCAGACACATGATGGTTCATTCTATACCGTGAACGAAGTCACGCATATTCCACAAATGACAAAGAACCTAATCTCCTTGAGTCTACTCGACAACAAGTGTCTCAGTTTCAAGGGAAGAGGTGGAGTTGTGTATGTCTGCAAAGGTTCAAGGAAGGTGCTAAAGGGTGTGAAGCGTGAGACCTTGTATGAATTACAAGGATCTATGTTGTCGGGTTCTAGTATATTTGCATCATCGCACGTTCATCAGTAAAATATGACCACTCTCTGACACATGAGATTGTGTCATATGAATGAACGAGGGATTCAAGTCTTGTCGAAGAGAGATCTTCTTTGCTGACACAATGTGTAGAATTTGGAATTCTGCGAGCATTGTGTGTTTGGGAAGCTACATCGCAACAAGTTTCATAAGAAGAGTATCCACCAGACGAAGGGGATATTGGATTACCTCCACTCTGACTGTTGGGATCCGTTACGAGTTGAACCCATTGGAGGCAACATGTATTTTCTGTATATTATTGATGATTACTCAAGGTTTACTTGGATTTTCATGATGAAGCAAAAAAGTGAAGCCTTCACGAAGTTCAAGCAGTGAAAGAATTTGGTGGATAATCAGACCGGGAAGAAGATAAAAAGACTTCGAACGAATAATGGTCCGGAATTCTGCAGTTCTGATTTCAATGCATTTTGCAAGAATAAAGGAATTGTCCATCATCATCAGACCGTTAGAGACACACCACAACAGAATGGTGTTGCGGAAAAGATGAACCAGAGATTGTTGGAAAGAGCAAGGTGTGTGCTCTCTAATGTTGGACTAAAGAGGAGGTTTTGGGCAGAAGAAGTAAACATGGTGTGCTACCTCATCAGCCGTGAACCTCACATAGGTATTAAGTGTAAGACTCCTTATAAGGTGTAGTATGGTAAGCCTGTTGATTACTCTTCATTGAATGTTTTTAGTTGTCCTGTTTACTATCATGTGGGTGAGGGTAAGCTGAATCCAAGAGAATAAATGGGTGTTTTGTGGGTTTTGGAGATGGAGTTAAGAGATTTCGAGTCTAGTCACCTTTTGAGCATAGAGTCATACTTAGCAGGAATGTGATATTTGATAAGAAGTCTATGTTTAAGGTTACTGTTGTTGGAGATAGCATGAATGTTGATAAACAGGTGGAGCTGCAAACTCTCAAAGAGAGTGAGTTTGAGCACCGAGGTGGAGAAGATCAACATGAGGATGTTTGTACAGAGTCAGGAGCTTCAAAATCCAGTGCAGGAGCTCAACAGCCTATAACTTCCGATAGACCGAAGAGAGCTACTGCAGGAGTATCTCCATAGAGGTATTGCTACGAGGACATGGTGGCATATGCTTTTTAGGTTGTTGAAGAGGTTGATACGGGTGAACAACAGTCCTACAGAGAAGTAATTTTGTGTGGTGAAGCCGCTTAGTGGCTTGCTACAATGGGGGACGAGATGGAATCCCATGACAGGAATCAGACTTGGAAGTTGGTCAAACGTCCATAGGGAAGGAAGATTAAAACAAATAAGTGGATATACAAGAAGAAGGAAAGAATCACTTCTGAAGAGGGCACGAAATTTAAGGCTCAGGTAGTTGCAAGAGGCTTCTCGCAGAGGGGAGTTGGGTACAATGAGATTATCTCACTAATGGTCAGACATACTTCAATCAGGGTGCTATGAGCGATAGTGGTAAATAATGACTTGGAGCTCGAGCAGCTAGACGTGAAGACAACTTTTCTACATGGAGAATTGGAGGAGAAAATTTACATGAGTCAACTAGAGTGATTCCAGGTTCCAGGAAAAGAAAACTATGTTTGTAAGCTGAAGAAGTCCTTGTATGGACTTAAGCAATCTCTGAGTATGAGGCAGTGGTACAAGAGGTTTGACAGCTACATGCTTTAGCTGGTTAAAACAAAAGTCTCTATGATTGTTGTGTATATCACAGCAAGGCAGCGGATGGTTCGATGATATATCTGGTTTTGTATGTGGATGTTATGCTCATAGTGCAATATATAGAGGTTAAAGGGGCTTCTCAATGCTGAGTTTGAGATGAAGAATTTGGGAGCTGCTCAGAAGATTTTGGATATAGAGATTTATAGGGATAGCGAGAAGAATAAGCTTTTCTTGTCACATAAGAGCTACATCCAGAAGATATTGTCTAGGTTTGGCATGTCTTCAGCAAAGCCCTTGAATAGTCCTAGTGCTTCTAATGTTCATCTATCCTCAGTTTATGCACCGCAATCAGAGGCTGAGAAGGAGTACAAGTCGAGAGTCCTATATGCTAGTGCAACTGGTAGTTTGATATACGCTATGGTCTGCACTAGAGCTGATCTTGCACATGTTGTTAGTGTTGTCAGTAGGTTCATGATACAACCTGAGAAGGAGCATTGGCAGGCAGTGAAGAGAATCTTCCAGTACCTTAAGTATGTCTGATGTGGGGATTAACTTCATGAGGCCGAGAAGGAGTACAAGTCGAGAGCCCTATATGCTAGTGCAACTGGTAGTTTATATACGCAATGGTCTGCACTAGAGCTGATCTTGCACATGTTGTTAGTGTTGTCAGTAGGTTCATGATACAACATGAGAAGGAGCATTGGCAGGCGGTGAAGAGAATCTTCCAGTACCTTAAGGATATGTCTGATGTGGGGATTAACTTCGGAAGTGATACATAATGTTTAGTGGCTGGTTATTCAGATTCTGACTAGGCTGAAGATGTTGACACGAGTAGATCGATCCACAGAAAACAGTCGTCACGTAATATTATTAATGTGAAAATTTATAGTTGGTAACAAATAAAGAATCTTTTGCGGGAATAAAGTGCAATGATGGAAATAAATAAAAAGAAGAAGATTGCAACTTTCTCCTTCTATTATTGCAGATACGTAACCTGAACAATGAATCAAAAGATGTATAGGATATTGATTATGTCGCGACCAAAAGAGTAGTTGAAATCTGGTAAGATTGAGATACAGATACTGCGATGTGACAACTTACCAACGAAACATTTATGTTACTGGAGTTCTTATTACCATGCCATTCAAATGGTTAGTGGGAGGAGATCCATTGCACAACCTTATTATGAATAAGAATAACTAGGCATAAACTGTCCCATCATTATTTATAGGAAGTCTCTAACTTTCATCGCTTCCTTCTAGGTCTATTACCCTTGAGTTCAAACCACGCTTAAAATTAAGAGTTTAAATTAGGAGTGTCCATTCGGATTCGGTTTTTTGGGTTTTGGATTTTTCCGGGTTTCGGCTAAAAATCTTCAAGGAATGGCACTCAGCCAGTATTCTTAGGAGTTCGGTTTTTCGAATTTTCAGGCTTTAATCGAACCCGAATCCGATTTTCGGGTTAGGTTTTCAGTAATTTTCGAAACCGAACCCGAACGGACATCCCTAGTTCAAATATCATTCTTGGTATGAGTATTAAAGTTGGCAGAGTGCGTCCCCCCGGTCATTGCCATCAATCCTTCTCCTCCCGTGTTTCACGATTGTTATTTTAAAATCACAGTGTACTAGTGATCATGCTGTCAGCTCGTGCTTCACGATTTGCTAAGCCTCCTTTCTTCCCAGAAGTGTCCGCACCGGGCCGGTTATATTTAAACAGACCTTGATTCTCCACTTCTTTCCTCACCACTACTACCAATCAACACTAAAGCTGACAAGGAAAAGACAGAAATCAATGAGCCTTCTAAGCGGGAAGCTGGAGGCATGTTTTGCAATCAGACTCTCAGCGAGTCAACACCACGAAATCTTCAGTGCTAGGCCTCACCACGTCTCCAACATGGCTCCTGGTAAGGTCAATAACTGTGCTGTCCACCAAGGAGATTTGGGCCAAAAGGGCACCATCATTGAGTGGGATTATATCCATGGTACGTAAGTTATATTCATCATATATATGCATTACTGCTCATGTATATGTATATGTAAATGTGAACATGAGATTTTGTATGTTCATCCAGAGGGGGAGCAGAAGCTAGCCAAGGAAATCATAGAAGAAATCGATGACGTGAATTTTTCGACCACGTTCAAGGTGATCGAAGGCGATGTTATGAAGGAATACAAGGAGTTGAAGCTTGTGGTCAAGGCAACTCCACAGTCGGAGGACACCACCAGCATCATCCACTGGACTGTGGAGTATGAGAAGCTAAGCGAGGAAACCCCTGAGCCAATCTCCGTTCTGCACCTTCTGGTTCATCTCAGCAAAGATATCGATGATCACCATGCCAACAAGTGATCCGATCGACTCCAAAGGGTTATATTGCTGAAGAATCATTATGATGTGTGGTTATATATACGTGATCATGTGGATTATGGTATGTATAGTGAAATTTGCAGGCCTTGTTCTTTGTCTGCTGTGGCATGCGGCTGGTCTTGTTGTTGTGCAATAAAAAAAATGTGTGCATAGTTCTGGAAAACATAAATTAATAATATCTGCGTATACGGCAGAAGTTGTTGGATTGATTGATCATAAGTATAGTTAATAAAGCGACCCGCGAGGGGCCATTATTGTTAGAAAATTAATGATAATGTTTCCTCTATTTGCTCCAACGGTCCAGATAGCATAACAACACCCTAAGTGTTGTTATAGTAACAACAATGGTAAAAATGGAAACTAAAAAATAAAAAAATTAGAAATTAAATTATTAATTACCCCACCCTGTATTATTCTCTCTCCCCACTAATTCTTCTGATCAACTTCTCCCGTACCTTATTCCAGTCAATTTCCTTACGGGAGCTTCTCCTCCTCGCCGGAAATGCCGTCTCCACTCCGTCAGATTCCCGGAGACATCAACAATGACCACAATCCCTCCAATAGCACCAGGAATCGCCGACGATTGGGTCGACGACAAGAATAGAGATTGAATCGCCGACGATTGGAATAGACGACGATGTGTAGCTGTCGGGAAGTCAACGACGCCACTTCCATGGACGAGAAGAAGGTCGCATGTCCCTCCTCCTTCCCGTGTTCACTGCCTCGTCAAATTCAGAAGTGGTGGAGTAGAGTACCTCCCCGACAATCTCGCTTCGAAAGTGCTCTAAGTTCTTTTCTTTGCCAAGCGGCTTTTCTTTTAAAGGCTTCGTATAAGGGCTAAGAGAAGATGGGAGAGTGGCCGAGTGGTCAAAAGCGACAGACTGTAAATCTGTTGAAGTTTTTCTACGTAGGTTCGAATCCTGCCTCTCCCACTTTTTTGTTGTAGACTTCAGATAAGAGCGTATGAGCCTGAACCCCAAGACCGAAATCCCTTTGTTAATGCTACAATTATCAGATCCTGCTGCGCGCAGATCCATCATTGACAGGACCGCACTTGGTTAAAATCCTTCCCGCCAGATCGCCGACGAAGGACGACGAAAATCAAAAGCCATCGCGCCAATCGTCCACTTAATTGGAGCGCGCGATGGAATTTGTGAATCGATTGGTGGAGGAATCGAGTCTCAAATTGCCGGAGGACATCGTGGAAGGGATCGCTCGAGTGATTGCAGACAGCGTGCCTAGGGATTGGCACTTCATTTCCGGCCGAAGCTCTCGGTGGGGCTAAACGTCGTGGTTTCGTCTCCGCATCCGATCCTGTCCTGCGGCTTATCTTCACAGGATGTGCCGACACCTTATGTTGGGACTCTGAAGGAATTCACAATTGTGCAGCCTGCCCAGATTGTGACGGCAATTGAGCAGTTATGCCAGTAAAACTGGCACCAGCCGTTACACCAACGTGTTGTTGTGGTAGAGTTCTTACGCAAGGTGGCAAAACTTCTCACTTTTGTTTTGGGTTTGTATTAATTGGTTTAGTTTCTTAGAGCTTGTTTAGCAAATTTGTGGTTATTGGGACTTGCATATGTCTTTGCTTAACGTTTTTTCATGTAGACTAGCGTGTTTCTAGTGTTTCTTTGCCTAAAACTATTGCATGAGTCAGCAATTGAAAGTTTGGAGACGCGGGAGATAGGGGTGGGCTACGGGACGGGACGGGACGGGATACCCGTCCTGTTTGAAACGGGTACCCAATCCCATTTGGAGAGCAATCTCCATCCCATTCCCAAACCCGAACGGGTTAACGGGTACCCATTATCCGTTTGGGACGGATAACAGGTACCCATAATACCCGTAAATACCTGTTCAATTGGGAGTAGTAATGTTTATTGCTGGGAATAAGATTGCCACGTTGGAAGGACAATCTTCGCGTCGCAAAACTGCTGGGCCTGTGCGTTTTTTTATAGGATATTTTATGTGCGTCTTATGAGTTAGTGATAGAAACTTGCATTTTAGTACTTTAATTAATTGTCGGTTTGTTATTATTCAGATTATTGGGACTATTCGGGAATAATTGATAGATCTGGTAGTAGTAGAAAATTAGCCATTTTTATATAAACTACTTGTACGTGAGATTTATGGTTAAGCAAGAATTAAATCCCTAAACCTAATACTCTAATCTTTCCCCTTCTCCCTACCTTCATCCCCTTCCCTCCTCTTTCCCCTTCCTCCCCTCCTCTTCCTCTCGGCAGGCCCCTGCCACCAACCTCCCTTCCCTTTTCTTTCTTCTCCCTAGTCCCCAAGCCATTCCCCCACCCCTTTCTTTTTCACCGACCATACCAACTTCTTCCCCCTCTCTTCAACTGCTGCGACAGCAGCTCTTCTTCCCCCTTCCCTCAATTTCCAACTCCCAATTTCCCCCTCAATTTCCCTCAATTCAACCCTAATCACCACCTTGGTGATTGCTACTGTTCAAATCCCTCACAATCCGATAGAACCTAATTTAGGTTTATATCATTTGGTATTAGAGCCCGGTTCTTGGGTTCGAGATCAAACGAAGACAATCGAGATGGTGTCGACGAAGTCCATGACGGCAGCTGAGAAGGCAGCCAAGGCAGCGCAGGAGCAGGCCATGACTGCGGCCACGACGGGGCTGCCGTCCTCCGGTGATGGAGCACATGGGGTTCCCAGTCCGCGGGACGGGGAGCTGGTTGACGAGACGATCGGTGAAGAGATCCGCACCGATTTGGCCAAAATGGCGGATACAGTGGAGCAGGAACGCATGTCCAGGCAGGCGGACTCGCAGAAGCTATGGCTTGTGATTGGCGAGCTCAAGGTGATGCTGACGGAAGTCCTGGGGCGCGTCGGAGGCGGCAGCGGCGGGGCGACCGGCGGCCAAGAACTGGCGGTGTAAGCGGCGGCGGCGGCGGCGCTGGCGACGGTGACGGCGAAGGCGGCGCTGGAGATGGGCCTCGAGCCCGGGCAGGGTGCGAGCGGGGGTGGAGCAGGTACAGGGCCAGTGCCAGTACGATTGGGTACGGGCCCGGGTCTCTTGCCTATGCCTATAGCCTATAAGATTGCGGCCCACAAGGGGAAGGCCAAGATGCCAGATTATGACGCGAATGGGATTCGAATGAATGTTGGGCCAGAGATTGTGGGCCACTATGCGAAAGGCGCCAATGGGCTAGGATTGTTGGACCTGGATGCTGAGCCCGAAGATGATGAGTTTAGCCAGGCGGATCCACAGACGTAGTGGACCGGACCGGAGGTGGACCAGAGAGGCCTCGGTGGGGCGGGGAGGGCCACCGACCTGGCTGGGTGGATGGGTCCGGGTCCGGCAGGGCATGCTGTAGTGAGCGGGGCCGAGGCGGGTTGGACCGGACCCGGTCGGCCGGTACGGGGCCGGTCTATGTTGGGCGGACCGAGGTGAGCGGACCAGGTCGGGTCGGGTCGGAATGGGTTGGCCCGAGGTGGGTCAAACCGGGCATCGTCCGAGCCCTACCAATCAGCAACCGAGAAGGGTGGACAGCAGGGGACCAGCTTGTTTGGAGGGTCCGCATGGGGCACCCTACGTTCCGGGGTGGGTATCAAGGCCCGCCGGGCGGCTATCCGGGGGATTACGGGCATGAGAATCCGAGTCGGGCGCTAGAAAACACGTACGGGCAGCCGTGGAGGACACCGGGTAACGACAGGTACGGTTCCTATTGTATTAACTATGAAGGAACTGAGGGAGTGGTTATTTGCGCCAAGCCTCCTAACATTGAGTTTCCAAAATTCAATGGGCAAGAGGATGCAGGTCTTTGGTTGTATGCAGCTGAGAGGTGGTTTAGAAACCATCCGATTCCGGAGGAGAGAAAGGCCTATCTGGCGTCGTTTTATTTGGGGGGTGATGCACTCCAGTGGTAGGAGTGGATGGAGAGACCGTATGCAGTGGCCGAGACTTTGATTACCTGGCCCATGTTTCAAGAGGAGCTCCGTTACCAGTCCGGGAAGTCAGAAGGGTGGGCCCCTGAGCAGTTGGCCAAGCTGAAGCAGACCAGCACTGTGACCGAATATCGCACTGAGTTCTTCAAGCTGGGGAACCAGTGCAAGGGAGTTCCGAAGGACATATTGGTGGAGCTGTGCATGGCGGGCCTCAAGCCTGAGATAGCAGCAGCGGTCAGAGTGTTTGAGCCAGATTCTTTGAAAGCTGCTTTTCGTCTTGAAGGTCATAAAGAGGAGGAACTTGCCAGCTGGAGGAACTCCATAGGCCGTTACCATAAGTCAAGTGGAGGTGGAGGAAGCAGTGGGGGCGGTGGTAGCAGTGGAGGAACACCGGCAGGAATTGCGGTGGGAGCTAACGCCGGAGGCGGGGACACGACGCAAGTGGCTAGGATGGGCCGCGGGCCATACCAAAAGTGTTCGTGCGACTGTCGCCAACCGAGATTGAGCAGAAGAGGCGAGAGGGCAAGTGCTTCAATTGTGATGGCCGGTTCACCATCGATCATCAATGCCCGAAGCTGGATCTGATGATGTTAGTCGGGCGCTGGGAAGATGAAGCAGAAGATGAGGCCGAGGACGCTGGAAATGGCGAGGAGGAGACCCAGTGAGCTAGAGAAACAACCTTGGGGACAATGTTGTTTTTCGAAGGAAGTGGGGATGATAGAAACTTGCATTTTAGTACTTTAATTAATTGTCGGTTTATTATTATTCGGATTATTGGGACTATTCGGGAATAATTGATAGATCGGGTAGTAGTAGGAAATTAGCCATTATTATATAAACTACTTGTACGTGAGATTTATGGTTAAGCAAGAATTAAATCCCTAAACCTAATACTCTAATCTTTCCCCTTCTCCCTACCTTATGTCGATCCCCTTCCCTCCTCTTTCCCTAGCGGCAGCGCCGCTTTAACCTTCCTCCCTTCCTCTTCCTCTCGGCAGGCCCCTGCCACCAACCTCCCTTTCCTTTTCTTTCTTCTCCCTACTCCCCAAGCCATTCCCCCCACCCCTTTCTTCTTCCCTGACCATACCAACTTCGTCCCTCTCTCTTCAACTGCTGCGACAACAGCTCTTCTTCCCCCTTCCCTCAATTTCCAACTCCCCTGTTCCATCCCAATTTCCCCCAATTCAACCCTAATCTCCACCTTGGTGATTGCTACTGTTCAACTCCCTCACAATCCGATAGAACCTAATTTTAGGTTTCTATCAGTTAGTTGTTGATCATTTTTTTTCTTCTCTTTAAATTTCTTCTCCTGTGAGATGGTAAATAAGGATTAACAGTGGCTAGTTGGAGGCCAAACTCTTGTTGATTATTAGTTACTTCTCAACTGTGGAAAAGTGATCTTTTCCATTTCTTACTTTCTCCACTTAATGCATATTAACATCGTCAATTGCTAATTTTTCATTGGACTAACGGGTATTAACGGGTAACCAGCGGGTACCCGAAGTAGTGATTCTTGATCCCAAGTCCCATACCATAAAAATATTTCGGGTATTTGGGTACCCATAACCCTATAAAAACGAGACGGATACGGATATACCCAAATACCCGTTTTCTGTTGCCCACCCCTAGCTGGAGATAGGAGAAGGGAGGTGGTGGGAGATTTCGATCGGAAGAGTGCAGATGGCGGTTTGCTTGCAGCACCTGGCCGGTTCCAGATCCTAGGCTGTGAAACGGATGTCATTGTTGCCACGTGTTCCATCAGATTGTCTCATAATACAACCCACTAATCTTTCAAAACATAACAGAAATATGACAAAACATACTATAATTATTTTTAAAGCATACCGGAAATCTCCTAATATATACCACAAATTGCAAAACATACTAGAAACACCACAAAGCAAACCACAACTATTTCTAAAACACACAAAAAATCTCATAATGCAAACCACAAATGCGATAGAACAAAGCACAAAAAAATAACAGTAACCTTCTAAAGCAAACCACAAGTCTCCTAAAACAAACCAGAAATCTCACAAAGCAAACCATAAATATTTTGAAAAGCACACCAGAAACACCCTAATGAAAACCACAAACACGAAAAAAATAAACCACAAAAAAACCAACCATAAACGTCCTAATGCATACCACAATATATATTAAAACAAACCAGAAACCTCTAATACGCTCCTGGGGGGGTGTATGTTACCAAAGTAACGCAGCAAACGACTCAATCGAAGAATCGATTGAGCTCGAATAAAAAACGAAGCGTTTTTAATACGAACTTGGGATAAAACAGAACCAACGGACAATTCCACACCTGGGGAAAGCTCGTATGGTATAAAAGGGTAGCTGCTCGACCACGATTGAAGAGAATATTCAATCGATACAAAGCTCACAATCTGGGAATCCACCAAACTCAAACAAGTCGCAACTTGCACAAAACCAAAGGGTTTGTTTTTCGATTAATCAAAGTCTTCTGTTTTACAACGTAAATAGAACGGTATTTAAAGGCAAATAAAACCTAATACAATCATAATAGAACTAGGAAACAATTATGGTAAAAATAAACTCTAAAAACAGTGTAAAACTCGGACACAACTTTCGTACTTACAGTCAAAAGGCATCTTTCGTACTAACTTCACGCCTTTCTTTCGAGGCCATCCCGAAGCTCCCAGCAAAACAGTCAAAAGGCATCTTTTAAACAATTCAAACTTTGAAGCTTCATTGATTTTTTATCTTGCTGCTGTCTTCCACGATTCGAGCTCTAGTACATTGGTGGGACTCCGAAGGACCTTTCCCACGCAAATAAGCTGCTCAGTAGAACCCAGAACTAGCCATGCAAAATTTCCAGTTTCCTGCGAAGAATATGCAGTTTCCGGCGACTTCAAGTTTGCCGGCGAGTGCTCCCAATTTAGGGCTTTCTTGTCAGATCCATCTCGATCGGCTTCACAGCTTCCATTGTGTTCGTATCGCATCCAGGGAACGAACACAACCATTTCCAAGCTTTTGTTGTGCGAAATTCGTCCCCAATTGCAATTTACGAGTTTCACGGCGTCCAGGAATTTGAATTTCCCAGATTCCAGTGACTCCATTATTATTTAAACATATTTTTCATAATGACAATTATACCCCTGCTTTGATTTTACACTAGGTCAACTCAACTAATAAAAAGTCATCCCGACCCTAGCTTCCTATTGGTTGGAGACTAGTGTTGTTACAATAACAACACAAGGGGTGTTATCACACTATCTACTCCCTTGCTCCAATAGCTATGTATGGATGGCAGTGGTTGCAACTTGCAACAAAGCCTTTTGAAGAGGGATGCGATACGGTGTCAACAGTGGCGGACCTGTTCAATGCCATGGGTAGTTAGTTGACATACCTTGGCTAAAAATTTGGAACAAATTAGCATAGGAAAAAAAATTGTTGTTAGCATGATTTAAACCCTTGACATTTTGACAACCCTTACACCTAATAGAAGTTCCATTAAACCACTATCCAATTGCTATTGTAGACATTCCAAAGTAAATATATAATGCTCAAAATTAATTCCCGTCTAATATGCCGAATCCAAGTCCCATTAAGATTTTATTAAATCTCCTACTCTTTTTTGGGGAATGAAAACTCTACCCCAATAAAAAACAACTCTCGACACTATGACTTCCTATATTTCCAATTACAATTCCCAATTTTTTTACAGAACCCTTGCTTGCCCTTCTTCTGCCATCGACAACTCATTGATGTACTTTATGAATTAAACTTTATTTTATATATATATATATATATATATATATATATATATATATATTTTTTTTTTAATACCCTTGACAAAATTTCTGGGTCCGCCACTGGGTGTCAACCTTTTAAAGGGTTGGCAAATTAATGTTACATATTTTCAATTACATTTTGAAAATTAAAAAATTATATTAATTGAAATTAAAAATTCGTATTAGTTATATTTTTAATTAAAAATATTAGGATTAATAGATATACAGGCCCCTCAACTATGCTAAGATAACAAATAAGCCCTTGTACTATACTTCTAATGAAAGAACCCCTTCTATTATGATTTGATAACAAATAAGCCCTTTTGTTAACATTATTCGTCAATTAACATGAAATAGGGTCTGAAATGTCTAAATTGCCCCCAGTGTGATATGTGTTTAATAAAGTTGACTTAATTCAGCCTTTGCCTATATGGACAAGAAGGAGAATTACGATTCTGACATCGTCACGACCGCCGGCGATGGCGAGAAGACAGAGTTCTTAATCCTCTGTTTATCTAGGTTTTTCTTTTACAGTATGCTTGCCATTTTCTGGTTGTTTGTGCTGCAATCTGGGTACTCCCCAGCTCTTCCACTAATAAAGGTTAAAGAAGGAAGTCGTCGCCACCGCCCGCTGCACCGAATTTTTCCTTTTTTATTTTGCCCTCACTAATCATCTGGAAAACACCGGATTCCCCGGCTCTTCTCTAATCTTCTGCAGCATCAGCCTCCTCGGCATAAATCGACAATCTGCGCTTAAACTCCCCGCGAAGCTACAAATCCTTCGACATCTCCTCCAAACTCTTCTTCCTTCCTCCTTCGCCGCTCATCTGATCTAGTTCCATCTGCAGGGAGCAGCAAAAATCTGCGGCCTATGGCGAGGAAGAAATTCGAACTTCGAAAATGATCTCCGCCGCTCTGACCGGATCCCGTAACTGCCTCACCTCGCCGCCCGGAACAAAGAGCTTCTGTGCGCTACTTTCCTAGCCAGTACCTTCGGTGAATCGAGATCGATACCTTGCTGCCCACCTCTCCTTAGCGTTAATCTAACTCTCCATCCAATACTTGAAACCCTAACCAGCCACACACCCCGGGTTCGTATTTAGGGAGAAGTTGTGTTTGTTCAATTCAACACTTATATCGTCGTTCTATGGGGGCTGGGGAGTGGGAATTGGGTATAAAAATTATAAAGTCCTTTTTTAGTCAATTATATCTCTTATTAAAAGTTAACTTTAAGAAACATATATCACAATGGGGGCAATATAGAAATTTCGTGTCCTATTTCAAGTTAGTTGACAGAGAAGGTTAACGAAAGGGCTTGTCTGTTATCAAACCATAATTGAGGGGCTTCTTTCGTTAGAAGTATAGTACATGGGCTCATTTTTTAACTTGCCATAGTTGAGGGGCTTGTATGCCTATTAATCCAAAATATTATTACTATAACGATAACATTACCACTAGATTATAAAACAATATCAGTACACCTACAATATCAGCACGATTACACTGAAAACATTACCATTAGATAAGCAATTAATACAAGTACACTCACCATATCAATACCACTGCATTGACAACATTACCATACCACTGATAACATGACAACTACACCGGTTACATTACCACTATAACGACAACATTAACATTTATCACTACATGTACCGCTACACCGATAGCATTATAACTAGATCATACTACAATATCATTAAACCCAAAATAACAGCACCATTACACTATAACATAACTACTATCCCAATAACATGACCACTGCACTAAAGATGTACCACGACACTAAATAACAGTGAAAAATAGTACCATTGTTGAATAAAACAAGTACCACGATGAAAAATAGTACCACTTCAATAGAAACTCATATGTAAGTTCTAAAAATGGTGAAAGAGGACGACGAGGGTAGACTATGAGGACGACGAGGGTAGACTATTGAACGAGCAATTCAATAAGAGATCTCGGATCGAATCGTATATCAATACCGATTCGATCCGAGATCTTGGAATTGGAATAAGTTCGGCAGCGGATCACGA